TGTGTGCACAAATTTGTTTACATCCCTGTCAGTGAGCATTTCTCCTTTGCCAAGATAATTCATCCACCTGTCAGGTGTGGCATATCAAGAAACTGATTAAACAGCATGATCATGCACCTTGTTTTGGGGACAATAAAAGGCCACTCTAAAATGTGCAGTTTTGTCACACAACACAATGCCACAGATGTTTCAAGTTTTGAGGGAGAGTGCAATTTGCATGCTGACTGCAGGAATGTCCACCAGAGCTGTTGCCAGAGAATTGAATGTTAAATTCTCTACCATAAGCCGCCTCCAACGTCGTTTTAGATAAATTGGCAGTACATCCAACCGGTTTTATAACCACAGACCACATGTAACCACGCCAGCTCAGGACCTTCAATTCTGGCTTCTTCACCTGCGGGATGGTCTGTGACGAGCCACCCGGACAGCTGATGAAACTGTGGATTTGCACAAGCGAAGAATTTCTGCACCAACTGTCAGAAACCGTCTCAGGGAAGCTCATCTGTGTACTCGTCGTCCTCAACAAGGTCTTGACTTCAGTTCGGCGTCGTAACCGACTTCAGTGGGCAAATGCTCACCTTCGATAGCCACTGGCACGCTGGAGAAGTGTGCTCTTGAGGGATGAATCACGGTTTCAACCTCCACCCTCCACGTTTCAATCACGCACACAGTTTGCACAGACTCACCAATGCAGAGGACTTGACGGGTCCAGTCGAGCTGGCAGTTTGTCTGGTGTTGGTCCTTGTGAAGGGTATGTGGTCTTTAATCACATCTGCTTCTCATATGCATCTGCCAATGCTGGCTCGCTGAGTCAGTGGCTAGGTGTCTGGGTGAAGACTACAGAAAGTCAGGTGCAAGGGCTATGGTTCATCTGGCTAGTCATCCTAGGATGCAAGAGGTGGCAGGGAGAGGCTCACGCTGGCTGTCCTCTTATAAAAGGAACGCCAACCTGCCAGGCAATACAAATTATATAAAATATATACCCAATACAAACAGGTGTTCCCACTTCTGCAATCAATGAGTTCCGCTCAAAACAAACAGAAAGGAGTGTGACAGGGCAGACAACACTTTTCACCCATATGACCACGTAATTTAGAGTAAGAGGTAACAAAACTCATACATTGAACAAGACTTAGTCTTGTCAAAGAACGACAAGTTGAGGGCTTGAAAGGCAAGTTTGCCTACACCAATGAATGCAACAGATTTGGAATGAATGTGGACCTCTGATATGGCAAAGGGATGTTACATGAAGGTTGGCTAAACACTCACTGTAATAAGTAACACACACAAGATTCTTCCACTTTGGCTTGCCTATTCCTCTGGGGAAGCTTCACATACTAGTGACTACATGCAGCAGCTGGCAGGTAGTCCAGCATGGTCATCAGACCGCTGTATCTTTCTTTCTTTACTGGAAGTAGTGGGTTGAGAATTAGGGAGCTAGAGGTCTAGCGCCATGCTTCAGCTTACAGACAGACCAGGACTTCCATCCCGCATACTGGCTGTGGCTCTGCCTGGTGTGTATGTTCCAAGGATCATCAGCTGAAATTATAAAGGACGGCAGAAACAATATTTACAATTATAATTCGTTTTTCAACCAAATACACTAACATCACTTTTGGTATAAAGCAGTGTGCTGGGGTTAGGGAGCCCCTCTAAAAGACGGACAGACAGCGAGAGAGAGAGAGAGATTTTTTGTAAAGTACCTGAGAGTTTGGCCACATCAGTGAGGTAATGTGTAATTCAGCTGGTCGAGTAGCCAGTACCCCATTGTGAATATATTTCTGCCCAGTGTGTATGCAGTCAGGCCACGGAAAGCACATACATTAACTTACATTAATCTGAATAGGAATGAAATACAGAGGACCCAATGTAGACAGAAGAGCCACATCCAGCTCTCCCTACTGTCTCCCCATATTATTATTATTATAATCCACCTGCTCATTCCTGGGCTGAGACTACACAGATACACATTCTCCAGGTTTGCAACATTTTATCATTTCTGCCTGACCAGGATCTCAGTCCCTGTGTTTGTCAATCAACACATTACACCAATAGCCTTGACAGTTTTGATGATGTTCTCATCAGGGCGCCATCCCACTTTTGACAGCCTCAGAGACCCGGGTTCAGGTACTAGTCAGGTACTAATATCTCATTAAGCTACAAAAATAAACTGATGCCTGTATAATTCTCTACACCCATCTTATTGAATGTATGAAGTAGCTCTTCATGTCCCTAACTAGCCTAGCATAAATAATACTTTAATAATAAGAAAGAAAAATAAGCTAGAACAATGTAACATCTATACAGGTCCATTAACCCATAACTAACAGTAACAATGATGATAGACAATCTGCTTGAATATCCCGGTCTAGGTTACACTACATGAGGAATGGTCACACACCATATTAGCTGATATGTTTAGCTCAGGCTAGTTACACAAGCGAGCCAACATCGAACAACAAAACGTTGTTAGTTTGGTTGATATACGTTTCTTCCACATACCTTTGTTTGGACATGTTTTCTCTGTTTTTTCTTGTCCCTTACGATTAATACGGTTTCCACGCAGCCCTCTGTCTTTCGTTGCCTGTCCTTCCATGAAAATGAAATTGCTTGTCCGTCCATTCTTAGTTGTGTACATAAACGTTTTTTTACGCATGACCCTATTTTAAAATCTCAAATACTGGCTCATTATTGCATGAAAGTCTCACGAAACCACTTAATTTGACAGAGAGGATATCAAATAATGATGTCTGATGTTTACTTCATTTTTTTCAAAAATGTCACATATACAGTGGGGGGAAAAAGCATTTAGTCAGCCACCAATTGTGCAAGTTCTCCCACTTAAAAAGATGAGAGAGGCCTGTAATTTTCATCATAGGTACACGTCAGCTATGACAGACAAAATGAGAAAATTAAATCCAGAAAATCACATTTTAGGATTTTTTATGAATTTATTTGCAAATTATGGTGGAAAATAAGTATTTGATCAATAACAAAAGTTTCTCAATACTTTGTTATATACCCTTTGTTGGCAATGACACAGGTCAAACGTTTTCTGTAAGTCTTCACAAGGTTTTCACACACTGTTGCTGATATTTTGGCCCATTCCTCCATGCAGATCTCCTCTAGAGCAGTGATGTTTTGGGGCTGTCGCTGGGCAACACAGACTTTCAACTCCCTCCAAAGATTTTCTATGGGGTTGAGATCTGGAGACTGGCTAGGCCACTCCAGGACCTTGAAATGCTTCTTACGAAGCCACTCCTTCGTTGCCCGGGCGGTGTGTTTGGGATCATTGTCATCCTGAAAGACCCAGCCACGTTTCATCTTCAATGCCCTTGCAGATGGAAGGAGGTTTTCACTCAAAATCTCACGATACATGGCCCCATTCATTCTTTCCTTTACACGGATCAGTCGTCCTGGTCCCTTTGCAGAAAAACAGCCCCAAAGCATGATGTTTCCACCCCCATGCTTCACAGTAGGTATGGTGTTCTTTGCATGCAACTCAGCATTCTTTGTCCTCCAAACACGACGAGTTGAGTTTTTACCAAAAAGTTATATTTTGGTTTCATCTGACCATATGACATTCTCCCAATCCTCTTCTGGATCATCCAAATGCACTCTAGCAAACTTCAGACGGGCCTGGACATGTACTGGCTTAAGCAGGGGGACACGTCTGGCACTGCAGGATTTGAGTCCCTGGCGGTGTAGTGTGTTACTGATTGTAGGCTTTGTTACTTTGGTCCCAGCTCTCTGCAGGTCATTCACTAGGTCCCCCCGTGTGGTTCTGGGATTTTTGCTCACCGTTCTTGTGATCATTTTGACCCCACGGGGTGAGATCTTGCGTGGAGCCCCAGATCGAGGGAGCTTATCAGTGGTCTTGTATGTCTTCCATTTCCTAATAATTGCTCCCACAGTTGATTTCTTCAAACCAAGCTGCTTACCTATTGCAGATTCAGTCTTCCCAGCCTGGTGCAGGTCTACAATTTTGCTTCTGGTGTCCTTTGACAGCTTTTTGGTCTTGGCCATAGTGAAGTTTGGAGTGTGACTGTTTGAGGTTGTGGACAGGTGTCTTTTATACTGATAACAAGTTCAAACAGGTGCCATTAATACAGGTAACGAGTGGAGGACAGAGGAGCCTCTTAAAGAAGAAGTTACAGGTCTGTGAGAGCCAGAAATCTTGCTTGTTTGTAGGTGACCAAATACTTTTTTTCCACTATAATTTGCAAATAAATTCATTAAAAATCCTACAATGTGATTTTCTGGAAAAAAAATTCTAAATTTGTCTGTCATAGTTGACGTGTACCTATGATGAAAATTACAGGCCTCTCTCATCTTTTTAAGTGGGAGAACTTGCACAATTGGTGGCTGACTAAATACTTTTTTTCCCCACTGTATGTGTTTTCGTCGCAAGGGCTCATATGAACTGTAACTCAGTAAAATCTTTGAAATTGTTGCATGTTGCGTTCATGTTTTTGTTCAGTGTAATTCTAAATCACAGAGAAATATAGAAATGTCATCAATTAGAAATGACATGACCCTCCCCTGGACTAGAGTTTAAAAAGAGTAAATTATCCCTTTGACTGAAATTGAAAAAGCATGACCCTCCCCCATTTTCCTCCAGGTACCCAGTATGTACATTTCGATCCATCACTTGGAAAAAAAGGGTTCCAGAAGGGATCTTTGACTGTCCCAATAGGAGAACCCTTTTTGGTTCCATGTAGAACCCTCTGTGGAAATGGCTCTTCATGGAACTCAAAAGGGTTCTACGGAACTAAAAGGGTTCTACCTGGAACCAAAAAGGTGTCTTCCTAGGGTTCTCCTATGGGGACATCACCCTTTGTTCTAAAAGTGTAGGCCATGATCAAGACACACACACACACACACACACACACACACACACACACACACACACACAGGATGTCCCCTTGCTCTGAACAATGATGAACAGAGTGCTAACACACACAGACCCAGTCTGTAGCAGGTGTAATCACTCCTTCAGAATGACTGTGGTGGTGCTGATATCTCTTATCCTCCTCTCTCTGGGGTTCGCAGGTCAGTTAGAACTTAACCTTTTAGTTTTTATCTTTATTGTTGTGTGTTAAAGATTAAGTTGATCTAATTCTGTCTGTCTTTATGGTTTAGCGGTTAGTCTGGGTGATGTTGGGTAAAACTAAGATTACTGCACAATATTTTATGTTTGAATATGCATATCAAAATCAAATAAATCATCATTGGTCCTCTGTAGCTCAATTGGTAGAGCATGGCGCTTGTAACGCCAGGGTAGTGGGTTCGATCCCCGGGACCACCCATACGTAAAAATGTATGCACACATGACTGTAAGTCGCTTTGGATAAAAGCGTCTGCTAAATGGCATATTATTAAATCTTTCAAAAAAACAGCACACAAATGCTCTTATTTTCGCTCACAGGGATCCATTAAACACTGTAGAGAAAACCAGAACCCAAGTGTGAACGTCTTTATTTCATCGTTTTCAGCTAGCCTACATCTCAAAGAAATTGTCAACAAAATATTTGAAATAACCATTTGATGTCATAGACTTGTTTCCATTGAAACTACAGTTGTTGATCTCTCCTCCAACGCCTGACCTAGATAGAAGAGATGTGAGGTGCTTTGTGAGATTAGTCTTACTGACACCCCTCTCAATCATCATCAATGCAAAACGATCTCAAGTTCGTTTCGCCATATCATATATTCTGGGTTGTAATAAATATGTTTTAATAACATTCATACTTATGTAATGTTTAGTATGTATGACCTGACGAAGATCCAACTCGGAATGAAACGTTGTCCTTGTTGTGCATCTGATTAAATCCCCATGGAAGCATACCAGAGTTGCGGACATTTATTTTTTCTTTGATACGTTCTTCTGTCCTACACCTGATTGGATGTGCATATGTTTCTATTTGTTCTATTATTTAGAATGTAGGCCTACAGTATTTTTTTTACAATTGTAATTATTTTAGTTATTTAAGTAGAACTTATCCTGTTGTGCTTAATGGTTATTTGACACTAACAGTAATCTCCAGCGGTAGCTGATGGTAAATGTACATTTCACTGTATGTTTAGGTGCTGACGAGGAGTGTGTGTACGCTGCTGTCGGGAAGACCAAGGTGATTGACCATGACTACCCGGGCCTGGAGTTGCTTGAACAGTCATTCCACTTACGGTGGACCCATGACTCTAAGATCGTTTACGACAACAAGAAGGATACTGGGCAGAAATACCAGACCACAAAGAATGGTTCTCTGTTACTGGAGAACCTACAGCTGGATAATACTGGGACGTATCAGGCTACCATCTACGACAACCTGGGAAAAAACATGAAGTCTACCGTAACTCGGCTGTGTGTTTTCGGTAAGTACAGAACACACAAACAGTATAGAAAACACACATACAGTGTGCACGCACACACACACACACATACTCAACTCACTCACTCAGTGTTAGGGAAAATACATGCACTTTACAGTGTGTGTGTTTTGTGTTCTCAGCGCCTGTGTCTAAACCCCATCTGACACACAACTGTAATGGAACATCTGTCATGCTGCGGTGTGACGTGGGGAACCCTGTGGTTTTGAACGTAGTGTGGCAACATAATGGAAACATACTGCCAGGACAGACGCTACTCTGACCGTAACCAAGGCAACACTCAAACCTGAAGATCGTTATGCATGTACAGCGAGTATTAAAGCCAGTGAGGAGAAGAGTGACGATGTTTACCCTGAATGTACAGGTGTGTGGAACATACTACGTTTAAATAACCTGTTTACACAAGTGTGTGTGTGTGAAACACGCACGCACACACACACTCACACACTCACAGCCAGTGTTAGTGCAGATACTGTATGTGCTCTTTACGTGTGTGTGTTTTGTGTTCCCAGTGGCTGTGTCTAAACCACACCTGTAATGGAACATCTGTCATGCTGAGGTGTGACGGGGGAAACCCTGTGAATGTGAACATGACGTGGAGTCGTAACGGAAACAAACTGCCAGGACAGACTAACTGTAAGTCGCTCTGGATAAGAGCGTCTGCATAATGACAAAAAATGTTTAAAAAATGACAGACAGATGCAACTTTGACCGTAACCAAGGCAACACTCAAACCTGAAGACCGTTATGCATGTACAGCGAGTATTAAAGCCAGTGAGGAGAAGAGTGACGATGTTTACCCTGAATGTACAGGTGTGTGGAACATACTACGTTTAATGAACATATCTGATGATGATGATGGTGATGATGATTATAATGATGATGATGATTCCTCTGCAGTGCTCTTGTTTGGGATGGAGCTATGGCAGATGGTGTTGATTCTGTCTGGCGGAGGTGGTCCGCTCCTCATCATCACCATCATCACCTTGGTGTGGGTCTGCAGGAGTCGCCTAGAAGGTACTGAACACACATGACCAAAACCACACACGTTATCTACATTATGATGAAACAGTACTATGATAAAACACACACGTTATCTACATTATGATGAAACAGTACTATGATAAAACACACACGTTATCTACATTATGATGAAACAGTACTATGATAAAACACACACGTTATCTACATTATGATGAAACAGTACTATGATAAAACACACACGTTATCTACATTATGATGAAACAGTACTATGATAAAACACACACGTTATCTACATTATGATGAAACAGTACTATGATAAAACACACACGTTATCTACATTATGATGAAACAGTACTATGATAAAACACACGTTATCTACATTATGATGAAACTATGATAAAACACAAGGCTACTCACAATATACCAACATTTAACTCCATTACCCATGAATCCTTGCCCCTGATTTACCCAGATGTCTTCTCTTCTCTCATGTCCCCCTGTAGAGGAGGAGGAGATGAGACTGGCCCCCCTCACCCAGCCCACACGCCAAGCATCCCTCCACCACCAACAAAGGGCCCAAAGCCGACCCCGGCCCCAGAACAGAGCTGCGTCTCAGGCCACACCAAACTCCGGACCTCAGGTTTGACCCAGGCCTCCACAGCAAGCACCAGATGATGCTCAGATTCAGCTCATACCAATGCCCAGGTGACAGGACCATGAAACCACAGGAATTAGACATGTGTGTTTGTGTGCAAGCATGTGTGAATTCTTCTTAACCCTAACTACCCCTGTAGTCACAAAAGTGGTATCTGTCAGATCTATATTCTTTGCTCATAAAGTAACACTAACCTGACTTTACTAGTACTACATCAGAAGTCGCTATCATGACATTTGACATCTATAGCATCATAATCAGGGAGCTATATTTGTAGATATTTTTCAGATGAGATGAAGAGGTATACATATCTTTGATATTTTGAAACATATAGTGCTTGTTCATCTGATGTGTTCCTATAGGTAATGTAGTTAATACATATATTGTGTGTTATAGTCTGTGTATTGTGTAGCTATGTGGTTTGTCCTGTATGGTTGTGCCTGGGGTCCTCCTGTTCTAACTGAATGTTCAGTAAACTGGCCACTGAGGCTCAGCCTGTCTCTTAGAAACACACCACATCCTGCCCCTCCAGCGCACTCAACAGGCTGAGTTATCATGGGTGTATAGATCTCTATACCACACATGCAAGACAAATAATCTGCATGCTCTGCAGTGCAGAGAGATACATAAGTGTGTGTGTGTGTGTGTGTGTGTGTGTGTGTGTTTGAGAGAGACTGTTAAGTTGCGTAATTCGAATCTGGTATCAGAACAGAATTTAACACTAAGTCACTGAATATATTCTCAGCTTTTTTATTAATATAATTAGTCAAGCGAATAAATGGTAAATGCAATCTTCGTATATACGGGTTCACTGTAACACCTCGCAGGGCAAAACAAAGAACTAACTGTCCCAACCCAAAGTTCTTATTTTGATACTCTGACAGAGATAGTTCCTGCTCCAGGCAGGCCTATCAGAGTAGAGGCTGAGCGTGGTTTAGACTTACTCAACCTATCGTTGCCGCTCAGGCTGGTCCCAGCCTCTTGGCGCTTCACTGTTGCCGGGCATTAGTTTTTTTTTTTTACTTGTCTCGAGAGTCAGCAACCCTCAGACATAGTTTCCTCTTCTTCATTGTTGCAGTACACATGTCCTTGAGCGGTTTAACAAAGAGGCAGTGTGTGTGTGTGTGTGTCACAAGTCTATCTCAGCCTCCTCCCTAACGGTTCCTCACATTAGTCACAGCTTGTTATGTTAAACAATCTATATCAGTACAGCACAAACCTATTATGTTTAATCATTAATGTATTATTTTTAAGCTAGGCATCACATCTAATTATAAGAAAATAGATCCCAACAAGAGACAGAGACACAGACACAGAGACAGACACAGAGACAGAGACAGAGACAGAGACAGACACAGAGACAGACACAGAGACAGAGACAGAGACAGAGACAGAGACAGAGACAGAGACAGACACAGAGACAGAGACAGAGACAGACACAGAGACAGAGACAGACACAGAGACAGACACAGACACAGAGACAGACACAGAGACAGACACAGAGACAGACACAGAGACAGACACAGAGACAGAGACAGACACAGAGACAGACACAGAGACAGACACAGACACAGAGACAGACACAGACACAGAGACAGACACAGAGACAGACACAGAGACAGACACAGAGACAGACACAGAGACAGACACAGAGACAGACACAGAGACAGACACAGAGACAGACACAGACACAGACACAGACACAGACACAGAAAGAAAGAAAAGTGCATAGTTTCAAGGTGGTTATGAAACCATAATAATCCTCTGTGAATGACAGAGGGTATAATTGGGTGAATGTGGGTGTGAGACCTGTGGGTAGGGTGTAATATTTAATTATATATTTAATATATTTTCAACAGGGAAGTCACATTGAGACTAAAGTCTCTTTTACAAATGAGCCCCGCACAATACAAAAACAAGCACATACAACAGGCAAGTTGTCACGCTCTGGCTCCGGGACTGTGTAGTTTGAGCCAGGGTGTATTCATTTGGTTGTGTTGGGTATAGGGTGTGTTCATTTGGTTGTGTTTGGTTTTGGTTGTAGTGTCTTGTCTCGTCATGTGACTCCCAATCGGAGGTAACGAGTGTCAGCTGTCGGCTCGTTATCTCTGATTGGGAGCCATATTTAAACTGTCAGTGTTCACCTTAGGGTTGTGGGTTTTTGTTCCATGTTTCAGTCTGTGTACTGAGGACTTCACTATCCGTCATTGTTTATTGTTTTCTCGTTCGTGCACTTTAACTTTAATAAAGTCATGTTCGCTACAAACGCTGCGCTTTGGTCCACTCCTTCCGTAGACGGCCGTGACAGAAAAACCCACCAAAAAAGGACCAAGCAGCGTGTCCAGGAGCAAGGAGACTGGACATGGGAGGAAGCGCCGGGTAAGGAGATCGAGAGGCTGGCGATGGCCCAGGTGGGCAAATCGTGGTCCTGGGAGGACATGCTCGGGGGCAAGGGACCTTGGGGGAGGATCAAGGCCCTGGCGAGAGAGGAGCAACGGCGTCAGCAGGGCCATCGTCGTAAGGACGAGAGGCAACCCCAAAAAGTTTTTTGGGGGGGGCACATGGCTTGGGCGGCTGGGCAGCAGGAGGCTGCCACAGGGAGACGTGGAGAGAAGGCTACCGGATTATGGGAGCCATTGGCGAGTAGAGGGAGGGAAGTAGTGGAGGCACGGCGTGAGAGACTGAGGTGTGTTACCAGTCCGGTCCGGCCCGTTCCTGATCCCCGGTTAAGGCCAGTGGTGTGTGTTCCCAGTATGGACCGGCCTGTTCCTACTCCACGCACCAAGTCCACGGTGTGTGTCGCCAGTCCAGCCCGGCCGGTTCCTGCTCCACGTACTAAGCCTACGGTGTGCGTCGCCAGCCCAGCCCGGCCTGTTCCTGCTCCACGCACAGAGCCTACGGTGTGCGTCGCCAGCCCAGCCCGGCCTGTTCCTGCCACCCGCACCAAGCCTACGGTGTGCGTCGCCAGCCCGACCCGGCCTGTTCCTGCCACTCGCACCAAACCTACGGTGCGCGTCGCCAGCCCGGTCCGGCCTGTTCCTGCCACCCGCACCAAGTCTACGGTGCGCGTCGCCAGCCCGACCCGGCCTGTTCCTGCCACCCGCACCAAGTCTACGGTGCGCGTCGCCAGCCCAGCCCGGCCTGTTCCTGCTCCCCGCACCAAGTCTGTGGTGCGTTTCGTCAGCCCTGTCCGGCCCGGTCCCGCTCTCCGCACCAAGTCAAGGGTGCGCTTCGTCAGCCCGGTCCGGCCCATTCCTGCTCCCCGCGCCAAGGCAGTGGTGCGCGTCGTCAGCCTTGCAAGGCCCGTTCGTCCTCCACGCACCAAGCCAGGGGCGCGTGTCGTCAGTCCGGCTCCGGCCAGCGGGGCTAGACAGGACCAGGGGTACTTTGGGGGGTTGGAGAGGAGGTGGGGATCAAGGCCGGAGCCAGAGCCACCGCCGAGGAGGTATGCCCGCCCAGCCCTCCCTTGTTTAGCCCGTATTGAGGCGCGGTCGCAGTCCGCGCCTTTAGGGGGGGGGTACTGTCACGCTCTGGCTCCGGGACTGTGTAGTTTGAGCCAGGGTGTATTCATTTGGTTGTGTTGGGTATAGGGTGTGTTCATTTGGTTGTGTTTGGTTTTGGTTGTGGTGTCTTGTCTCGTCATGTGACTCCCAATCGGAGGTAACGAGTGTCAGCTGTCGGCTCGTTATCTCTGATTGGGAGCCATATTTAAACTGTCAGTGTTCACCTTAGGGTTGTGGGTTTTTGTTCCATGTTTCAGTCTGTGTACTGAGGACTTCACTATCCGTCATTGTTTATTGTTTTCTCGTTCGTGCACTTTAACTTTAATAAAGTCATGTTCGCTACAAACGCTGCGCTTTGGTCCACTCCTTCCGTAGACGGCCGTGACACAAGTATAGATAAACATAAATATATACACATTAAATACACATTAAGATGCAAAACACAGTCAATTAAAACAAACACATTCTTTATTATAAAAATCCTATGTCAGCTGTTTGAATTGCCCTACACTCTTAGAAAAAAAGGTGCTATCTAGAACCTAAAAGGGTTATTCGGCTGTCCCCATAGGAAAACCCTTTGAAGATCCCATTTGTGTTCCATATAGAACCCTTTCCACAGAGGGTTCTACCTGGAACCATATAGGGTTCTCTTATGGGGACAGCCAAAGAACCCTTTTGGAACCCTTTTTTCTAAGCGCGTAGGGACTTCAAACCATCCAATTGAAACGTCTTTTGGAGATTTTTCCAAACATAGGGTGCAAGGAAATTAAAGGCCGATTTACCTAAATCTGTAGACACCAAAGGAGTCTCCAAAGTTAACCAACCCTGTGAACGAGTTTGATAACTTGCCATTTTAAATCTTAACAGTGATGTTAGGTAAGTCGGAAGCTTATGGAGCAGGGCTTTGTAAACAAAAAGAGCGTAATGATGTGATCTACGTGACTTTAAAGAGGTCCAGCCAACCTTTTGGAAAAGAGTGTAGTGATGAGTAATAAAACTGCCTGCTATGATAAAATGAAGTCTCACCTGTGGGTAGGATGTGGGTAGGAGGTGAGTAGGAGGTGAGACCTGTAGGTAGGGTGTGGGTAGGAGGTGAGACCTGTAGGTAGGGTGTGAGACCTGTGGGTAGGGGGTGTGACCTGTGGGTAGGATATGTGACCTGTGGGTAGGGTGTGAGACCTGTGGGTAGGGTATGAATCCTGTGGGTAGGGTATGAATCCTGTGCGTAGGGTATGAGACCTGTGGGTAGGTGGGAGACCTGTGGGTAGGTAGGGAGTCCTGTGGGTAGGTGGGAAACCTGTGGGTAGAGAGTGAGTCCTGTGGGTACGTGGGAGACCTGTGGGTAGGGTGTGAATTTAGCACATGAATAGATGCCTCTGTGGTCTGACAGTGTGATCAAAGTAGATTGATTGCTACACTCCTATTATATGGACAGAAATTCAATTTATGCAAATGTAGTTTTTTATTTATTTAGTGGTACCCGTTTGAATGTGATATTACACTTCCAAACATTGTATGAGATGAAACTCGGCATTCCATTTAGTTATTTAGTAGATGTTTGTCAAGATCGTCTAACAGAGTGGACCAATGCGCAGCGTTGAATGAAAACATATTTATTCTCACTGAAGGCAACACGAACAAAACAACGAACGATACGTGACAGTTCACGGTTACCATAAACAGACTCGAAACAAAAACCCATAAACACGAATGAAAACCCGACTGTTTAAATATGGCTCCCAATCAGAGACAACCAGCTGACACTCGTTGCCTCTGATTGGGAGTCACTCAGACCAACATAGAAATAATGTGTTGGCTTGGTGTGGGGAACAGGCACGGGCCGTGCTGAACTGACGACGCACACCACTGGCTTGGTGTGGGGAGCAGGAGCGGGCCGGACAGGGCTGACGAAACGCACCACAGACTTGGTGCTGGGAGCAGGAATGGGCCGAACTGGGCTGGCGACGCGCACCACAGACCTGGTGCGGAGAGCAGGAACGGGCAGAGCCGGGCTGACGAGACGCACCACAGGCTTGGTGCGGGGAGCAGGAATGGGCCGGACTGGGCTGGCGACGCGCACCCCAGACCTGGTGCGGGGAGCAGGAACGGGCAGAGCCGGGCTGACGAGACGCACCACAGACTTGATGCGGGGAGCAGGAATGGGCCGAACTGGGCTGGCGACGCGCACCACAGACCTGGTGCGGGGAGCAGGAACGGGCAGAGCCGGGCTGACGAGACGCACCACAGACTTGATGCGGGGAGCAGGAATGGGCCGGACTGGGCTGGCGACGCGCACCACAGACCTGGTGCGGGGAGCAGGAACAGACCGGACCGTACTAGGGACACACACCACTGGCCCTACACCGGGATCTGGAACGGGCCGGACCGGACTGGTAACACACCCCAGTACCTCTCGCCGTGCCTCTACACCTTCCATCCCCTCTTCTACCAGTGGCCCCCGTAACCTGGCGGCCTCCTCTGCAACCCCGCTGGACCGCTCCATAGCGGCCTCCTGCTGCCCCGACGTCGTGAGCCCCCCCCAAAAAAATTCTGGGGGTCTCTCCTCCCCGTGGGCCAGGCCTCCATCGTTCTCGCCCACCTCTCGCTCCTCTGTCTCCAACCCTCGTCACTCAGCTCCTCAATGGGCTTGACCCAGTCGAAGCTGCCACGGAGATCTGCCAGCGATTTCCCTGGCGATGGCTCCTCGACTCGCTGCTTGGTCCAGTAGAGGTGGGTTTTTCTGTCAAGATCGTCTAACAGAGTGGACCAATGCGCAGCGTTGAATGCAAACATATTTATTCTCACTGAAGGCAACACGAACAAAACAACGAACGATACGTGACAGCTGACACTCGTTGCCTCTGATTGGGAGTCACTCAGACCAACATAGAAATAAGTAACCTAGACCCACAACAAAACATAGAAACTAACACCCTGGCTCAACATACGAGAGTCCCCCGAGCCAGGGCGTGACAATGTTCTTATCCAGGGCGACAACAAGTGCATTCAAGTAAAAAAGCTGACACCCACACACAGTCCCAGCTCCCCACCCCCCAATCTCTTTCTCCACACATTAATTCTCAAACACACAGTCCCAGCCCGGCTACAGGTGCTATCCTGTGTATGTGTGTGTTGGACTTGTGGAGTGTGGCGCTGCCGTGGTGAGACACTCCGAGTGGTAACACACACTCCTCAGTCATCATGATTGTGGCGGGGTCCCAGCACATCACTGTGGAGATTACCTGGTTCTTGTCATCACGGCCACCGGTGATAAAGAGTTTGTTGTTGCAGGCGGCAATGGCGCAGCTCGCCCTTTCGCCCAGCTGGGTCACCATAGACCAGCTGTCTGACTGGGGAGAGTAGCAGTACAGAGCATCCATGGCACCGCCTGGGAAGAGGGGAAACACAGAAGGACTGTTACTGTACACACACATGTGCACGCAAGCAGGCACGCGTGCACACACACAAACACACAAGACAATCACTCAGGCTGGTGTAGTGAGAGTAGATACAGTGGGGGAAACAAGTATTTAGTCAGCCACCAATTGTGCAAGTTCTCCCACTTAAAAAGATGAGAGAGGCCTGTAATTTTCATCATAGGTACACGTCAACTATGACAGACAAATAGAGAAAATAAAATCCAGAAAATCACATTGTAGGATTTTTAATGAATTTATTTGCAAATTATGGTGGAAAATAAGTATTTGGTCACCTACAAACAAGCAAGATTTCTGGCTCTCATAGACCTGTAACTTCTTCTTTAAGAGGCTCCTCTGTCCTCCACTCGTTACATGTATTAATGGCACCTGTTTGAACTTGTTATCAGTATAAAAGACACCTGTCCACAACCTCAAACAGTCACACTCCAAACTCCACTATGGCCAAGACCAAAGAGCTGTCAAAGGACACCAGAAACAAAATTGTAGACCTGCACCAGGCTGGGAAGACTGAATCTGCAATAGGTAAGCAGCTTGGTTTGAAGAAATCAACTGTGGGAGCAATTATTAGGAAATGGAAGACATACAAGACCACTGATAATCTCCCTCGATCTGGGGCTCCACGCAAGATCTCACCCCGTGGGGTCAAAAAGATCACAAGAACGGTGAGCAAAAATCCCAGAACCACACGGGGGGACCTAGTGAATGACCTGCAGAGAGCTGGGACCAAAGTAACAAAGCCTACAATCAGTAACACACTACGCCGCCAGGGACTCAAATCCTGCAGTGCCAGACGTGTCCCCCTGCTTAAGCCAGTACATGTCCAGGCCCGTCTGAAGTTTGCTAGAGTGCATTTGGATGATCCAGAAGAGGATTGGGAGAATGTCATATGGTCAGATGAAACCAAAATATAACTTTTTGGTAAAAACTCAACTCGTCGTGTTTGGAGGACAAAGAATGCTGAGTTGCATTCAAAGAACACCATACCTACTGTGAAGCATGGGGGTGGAAACATCATGCTTTGGGGCTGTTTTTCTGCAAAGGGACCAGGACGACTGATCCGTGTAAAGGAAAGAATGAATGGGGCCATGTATCGTGAGATTTTGAGTGAAAACCTCCTTCCATCAGCAAGGGCATTGAAGATGAAACGTGGCTGGGTCTTTCAGCATGACAATGATCCCAAACACACCGCCCGGGCAACGAAGGAGTGGCTTCGTAAGAAGCATTTCAAGGTCCTGGAGTGGCCTAGCCAGTCTCCAGATCTCAACCCCATAGAAAATCTTTGGAGGGAGTTGAAAGTCTGTGTTGCCCAGCGACAGCCCCAAAACATCACTGCTCTAGAGGAGATCTACATGGAGGAATGGGCCAAAATACCAGCAACAGTGTGTGAAAACCTTGTGAAGACTTACAGAAAACGTTTGACCTGTGTCATTGCCAACAAAGGGTATATAACAAAGTTTTGAGAAACTTTTGTTATTGACCAAATACTTATTTTCCACCATAATTTGCAAATAAATTCATAAAAAATCCTACAATGTGATTTTCTTTCTCTCATTTTGTCTGTCATAGTTGACGTGTACCTATGATGAAAATTACAGGCCTCTCTCATCTTTTTAAGTGGGAGAACTTGCACAATTGGTGGCTGACTAAATACTTTTTTTCCCCACTGTACTTCTCTGTAATGTCAAATTATTCGGAGACTTCGTGATGAGCATCAGAAGGCACACATACACGCACAACTTGTACACACACACACGCACACACACACACAGACACACTGTGTTGGGTTTGTTTCAGTCGACAGGAAACCACAGCTCTCGCTTCCTCTCAGTCTGTCTACAGGAAGAAGTAAAGGAAATATCATAACACCCCAAATATTACCACAGACAGACTGACAGACAGACTGTGTAAGCCGGAGGTGTCTGAGAGCAGATAACTGAAACTGGTGTGTAGTTGATACAGCTGTGTGTTTGGTGTGCAGTTTGGCCTAGCGTGTTGGTCAGTTAGGGGCAGGATGGGGTGTCTCCAGCCATACATGTCCAATATCCTGTTCCTCCTGAGTGGACTCATCCAATGGGGTAAGAGCATCTTCAAGTCACCACACACACACCTCCAGTCCTACCCATGGGGGTACCTGTTGGTTGGCAAAATGAAGAAGAATACCACACACATTTAAGAACATTCTAATGTTAGATGTAAAATTTGATACAGTTTCCTGTATTAATTTGCTGGGTGAAAAAATGATCTGCATAAAGGAACAAAAGGTTGTGCAGATTCTTGGTTCTCTTTGACCTGTTAATTATCAGCAAAGTACAAAGTATTGAGTTGCATTTTAGTGTCATTTCGTCAGATGACGGGTGGACTGTTGAAATGGCCACAGTTCTATATCAGTGTTTATAAAAGCTCCTCTCTACGTAGTTGGGCTATTGGTGAAATGGAATGAAATATCGTTGGCGAAACAGACAATGTCTACTTGGAATGAGTCACATAATGTTTTTAATTTGATCAAACAGGCGCTATGAAAACAATTAAACTAACACAAACCCTGACGCTGGAAAATTATTTCTGCCAGATTGCAATGTAACAGCAGGAGCCAGGCCCAGTTACATATTTTGATTAGAAGCACAATCAAACCTCGTCCACAGCAGGTTTTAGTCTAAGAGATGGAGCTGTGTCTGTTCTCAAACCATTACAATTGTGACATAACAGTTGCGATATGAATGCAGTATTCATAGTTTTTTGATGAGAGGCGGAGAGTGCAGACTGCAATCATTCTAAAAAAGAGAAGTCATATTTGAAGCTAGATATACAGTGAGGGGAAAAAAGTATTTGATCCCCTGCTGATTTTGTACGTTTGCCTACTGACAAAGACATGAGCAGTCTATAATTTTAATGGTAGGTTTATTTGAACAGTGTGAGACAGAATAACAACAAAAAAATCCAGAAAAACGCATGTCAAAAATGTTATAAATTGATTTGCATTTTAATGAGGGAAATAAGTATTTGACCCCTCTGCAAAACATGACTTAGGACTTGGTGGCAAAACCCTTGTTGGCAATCACAGAGGTCAGACATTTATTGTAGTTGGCCACCAGGTTTGCACACATCTCAGGAGGGATTTTGTCCCACTCCTCTTTGCAGATCTTCTCCAAGTCAAATAAAATAAAATAAAATAAAATAAAATCAAATTTTATTGGTCACATGCGCCGAATACAACAGGTGCAGACATCACAGTGAAATGCTTACTTACAGCCCTTAACAAACAGTGCATTTATTTTTAACAAAAAAAGTCAAAATAAAACAACAACAAAAAAAGTGTTGAGAAAAAAAAGAGCAGAAGTAAAATAAAATAACAGTAGGGAGGCTATATATACAGGGGGGTACCGTTGCAGAGTCAATGTGCGGGGGCACCGGCTAGTTGAGGTAATATGTACATGTAGGTAGAGTTAAAGTGACTATGCATAAATAATTAACAGAGTAGCAGCAGCGTAAAAAGGATGGGGTGGGGGGGCAGTGCAAATAGTCCGGGTAGCCATGATTAGCTGTTCAGGAGTCTTATGGCTTGGGGGTAGAAGCTGTTGAGAAGTCTTTTGGACCTAGACTTGGCACTCCGGTACCGCTTGCCGTGCGGTAGCAGAGAGAACAGTCTATGACAGGGTGGCTGGAGTCTTTGACAATTTTGAGGGCCTTCCTCTGACACCGCCTGGTATAGAGGTCCTGGATGGCAGGAAGCTTGGCCCCAGTGATGTACTGGGCCGTACGCACTACCCTCTGTAGTGCCTTGCGGTCGGAGGCCAAGCAGTTGCCATACCAGGCGGTGATGCAACCAGTCAGGATGTTCTCGATGGTGCAGCTGTAGAATTTTTTGAGGATCTGAGGACCCATGCCAAATCTTTTCAGTCTCCTGAGGGGGAATAGGCTTTGTCGTGCCCTCTTCACGACTGTCTTGGTGTGTTTGGACCATGATAGTTCGTTGGTGATTAAGGTTTCGAGGCTGACGTTTGGCAACTCGAACCTTCAGCTCCCTCCACAGATTTTCTATGGGATTAAGGTCTGGAGACTGGCTAGGCCACTCCAGGACCTTAATGTGCTTCTTCTTGAGCCACTCCTTTGTTGCCTTGGCCGTGTGTTTTGGGTCATTGTCATGCTGGAATACCCATCCACAACCCATTTTCAATGCCCTGGCTGAGGGAAGGAGGTTCTCACCCAAGATTTGACTGTACATGGCCCCGTCCATCGTCCCTTTGATGCGGTGAAGTTGTCCTGTCCCCATAGCAAAAAAACACCCACAAAAAATAATGTTTCCACCTCCATGTTTGACGGTGGGGATGGTGTTCTTGGGGTCATAGGCAGCATTCCTCCTCCTCCAAACACGACGAGTTGAGTTGATGCCAAAGAGCTGGTTTTGGTCTCATCTGAACACAACACTTTCACCCAGTTCTCCTCCGAATCATTCAGATGTTCATTGGCAAACTTCTGACGGGCCTGTATTTGTGCTTTCTTGAGCAGGGGGACCTTGCGGGCACTGCAGGATTTCAGTCCTTCACGACGTAGTGTGTTACCAATAGTTTTCTTGGTGATCTTTGACAAGATCCTCCCCTGTAGTTCTGGGCTGATTCCTCAACGTTCTCATGATCATTGCAACTCCACGAGGTGAGATCTTGCATGGAGCCCCAGGCCGAGGGAGATTGACAGTTATTTTGTGTTTCTTCCATTTGCGAATAATCGCACCAACTGTTGTCACCTTCTCACCAAGCTGCTTGGCGATAGTCTTGTAGCCCATTCCAGCCTTGTGTAGGTCTACAATCTTGTCCCTGACATCCTTGGAGAGCTCTTTGGTCTTGGCCATGGTGGACAGTTAGGAATCTGATTGATTGATTGCTTCTGTGGACAGGTGTCTTTTATACAGGTAACAAACTGAGATTAGGAGCACTCCCTTTAAGAGTGTGCTCCTAATCTCAGCTCGTTACCTGTATAAAAGACACCTGGGAGCCAGAAATCTTTCTGATTGAGAGGGGGTCAAATACTTATTTCCCTCATTAAAATGCAAATCAATTTATAACATTTTTGACATGCGTTTTTCTGGATTTGTTTGTTGTTATTGTGTCTCTCACTGTTCAAATAAACCAACCCTTAATTATAGACGGATCATTTCTTTGTCAGTGGGCAAACGTACAAAATCAGCAGGGGATCAAATACTTTTTTCCCTCACTGTACTTGTCTTTAAGTTTGTCTGAGAATATAATCTTCCTGTATTTACTTATGTTCTCCATCTAGGCGGGGCCAGGGTGCTTGTAGAGGTGCAGTCTGGCCCTCTGTATCGTGTGATTGGCTACCCTATCTCCATCTCCTGCAACGTGAGTGGCTTCTCTAACCCGTTGGCCCATCAGGACTTCAGATTCTCCATCTACAAGCCAAACAAACCCACCCTTGAGATCCGGATCATCAGCACAGATGACGAAAGTTATGCCATGGCGGTGTACGGTACCCGCGTCAGGGAAGGTGGCATCTCTCTGGAGCGCCTTTCAGTGACCTCGGTCCTCTTCCACGTGAAGAGTCTGGAGGAGGGGGACGAGGGCGAGTACGAGTGCTACACCCCAAACTCAGAAGCCGTATATGACGGGACGTACAATGCAAAGATCACATTGAAGGGTAATGTTTTTTTTCTTACTTATTCATCTAATTTTGCCTAAATGACGATGCCTTCTGTGGCTGCTGTATCTTTATCATTAACAAGCCATTATTTGAACTAACTCTGGACTTATTACATAGTGATTTGTCTACCAGATATACTGTATCAGTCAACCAGAACCATACTGTAGTGTTGATGTCCGTCCCTCAAATCCTGTTTCCATAGTGATCAAGGACACCCTTACCACCTCCTCCACTGGCCCCGTCTCCTTTAGCCTATCAGAGGGTGACGACCTAACCCTGCAATGTCTCGCCTCCAGCAACACCTTCCAGCACACCCACCTGTCCATCACCTGGTATCACCATGGAGACGGGGAGGCCTCGCCCCGCCCCATCATCTCTCTGGACCGTGATTTGACGGTGAGTCCGGGTCAGGGGTTTGAGGGTCGGTACCAGGCAGGGCTCATTGTTCTGGACAAGCTGGAGGAGGCCACCTACAGGCTGAAGATGGCCAGGATTGAGCTGTCTGATGCGGGAAGGATCTACTGCCAGGCCCAGGAGTGGATCCAAGACCCAGACCGGAGCTGGTACCCAATCACCCAAAAAGACGCACAGGCAACCACATTGGAGGTCAAAGCCATAGGTGAGAAACACCTCAGTGTTTTTTTTGCTTCCCATCCTTAGCCTTAGCCCAGATTGTGTTTACACATCCATCAATGACTTGGGTGTTTGTTCTTGGTTAAGAGGACTTATGGCTTAAGAGGACTTATGCCCATTCACTCTTTTGTCTTACTTCCTATAAGTAAATGCTGAGATGAGTTGATTATGAGTGATGAGTTTCCCGTCTGTCTAAGAGATAATTGTGAGTGATTTCCTGTCTCTCTCTCAGTGGTGGCTCCAGACCAGGGCTCTGGTTCTATGGTGGTGAGTATGACTGTGCACAAAACACAGCTCCAGGAGGGGGAGGAGCTATCATTGCAGTGCATTGTGGACGCAAAGGGCCCGGTGGGTCGGTTCTTCTCAGTGGCCTGGGTCAAGGGCAACCAGGAGCTGGCCCAGATTGGGCCCACGGGGGTCCTGTCTGTGGGGCCGGAGTACAGTGGGCGAGAGAGAGGGGGTGAGCTGAGAGCTGTGCGGACGGGGGAGAAGACACACCTGCTCACCCTGCGGCCCGTCAGAACCCAGGACCAGGGAGCGTACCACTGCAGGGCCTGGCCACAGGAGAGGGATGGGAATGGGGTCTTCACACAGGGATCCAGCCAGGAGTCCACCACCGAGACTATCACCATCACAGCTACAGGTGAGTGATCTGACACCGAGCAAATCAGATGCAAAGCTACAGGTGTGTAAGCAAGTAAGAAGCCAATCCAAGTCAGAGCTACATTTTTACATTTACATTTGAGTCATTTAGCAGATGCTCTGTGATCAGAGACCTGGAGGGGGTTGCAGTAAAATTAGTAAAACCCTCTAGGAAAGATGAGGTCAAGCTTGTGGTCCTCTGTAGCTCAATTGGTAGAGCATGGCGCTTGTAACGCCAGGGCAGTGGGTTCGATCCACGGGACCACCCATACGTAAAAATGTATGCACACATGACTGTAAGTCACTTTGGATAAAAGCGTCTGCTAAATGGCATATTATTATTTTCATAATTATTTATTGCCTGCCTTGTGAGTTCAAGTACAAAGAGCGCTGAGTCATCATCAGGAAATGAGCTTATCAAGGTGTCAAGCTCATTGAGGAACTCTCCAAGGGCACCTGGTGGGCGATAGCTGACAATAATGTTAAACTTGAGTGGACCAAGTGACAGTGACAGCATGGAATTCAAATGAGGAGATGGACAGGTGAGAGAGGGAGAAAATAGAAAATCTCAGCTTAGGAGAAATGAGTAGACCCGTGCCACCACCGCGAAGACCAGACTCCCGGACTATGAGAGAAAACATAGTCAGATGAAGAAAGAGCAGCTGGGTCATCAAGATGAGTCATCAAGCACTGAGTCAGAGTCAGAACAATACTGTAGGTATTTCATCAGCTTTCCATATGGCTGCTACATCAAGCAACAACAGATCCTCAATAAGTTCAGTTTGTGCATTGACCTTGCTCTGAACACAGTTATTACATATGTACAATACAAACACAAACACTCATCACACACTCAGCACCTTCTTTTTGTCTGTTCTCAGAAAGTGATTTGGCTGTTGCCATGGAGAGCCAACAGGTGAGTGTTGACGAAGGGGACACGCTACAACTCACCTGTAGAGTGAGCGGGGTCAACGGTCAGCTCTCCATCACCTGGCAACACAGATCAGCCTCAATGGCAACCGGCCCCTTCAGTGATGTTATCAGCCTGAGCCGGGTGGGTGTGCTAGAACCGGGGCCAGAGTTTGGGAAGCGGAATCTTCGTACACTCCGTCCCACAGCAGACACATTCACCCTGGAGCTGGGTGAGGTCACGCCCTCTGATGCAGGAGCCTATCAGTGCACCGTCTCTGAGTGGACCACGGAAGCCAATGGCAACGCCAAGAAAACCCACAGCCAAACACAGGACTGCAGCGTAGAGGTCCATCCCGTGGGTAAGAGCATTTCTTGGGCCTCCCGAGTGGTGCAGCGGTCTAAGGTACTGCATCGCAGTGCTAAAGGCATCACTACAAACCCGGGTTCGATCCCAGGTTGTGTTGCAGCCGGCCACGACCGGGAGACCCATGAGGCGGCGCACAATTGGCCCAGCGTCGTCCGGGTTAGGGGAAGGTTTGGCCGGTCGAGATGTCCTTGTCTCATCGTGCTCTAGCGAGTCCTTGTGGCGGGCCAGGTGCATGCACGATGACTTCAGTCGCCAGTTGTACAGTGTTTCCGCCGACACATTGGTGCGGCTGGCTTCCGGGTTAAGCGAGCAGTGTGTCAAGAAGCAGTGCGGCTTGGCAGGGTCGTGTTTCAGAGGACGCATCGCTCTCGACCTTCGCCTCTCTCGAGTCCGTATGGGAGTTGCAGCGATGGGACTAGACTGTAACTACCAATTGGATATCACCAAATTGAGGGAAAAAAAAGGGGGGTAAAAAAAATGAGAGAGAGAGAGAGAGAGCGATGGGACGTGAGGGTGCTGCAGCACCCCCTGAAAAATCATAATAAAAAAGTAGTGCACTGGGCCTTTACGAATCCTGTATTAGTGGACCGATATAACCGTCTGTAGTGAGGGCAAAACTAAATATTGCAGCACCCCCACCCACAAACTACTTCATGTGGCTATGGGAAAGGGAGAGGGAGAGATTCGAAGTGGAAGTCACCCTGGAGGACAAACATAACAGAAAATTGGAGACAGTTTTGGTAAATATCAACTGAGCAAGTAGCATGAGGTAGGCTTTCAGCTCCCACATTATCTATGTAGAGATCAATAACTTAATGCTTGACCACTGATCTCTCACGTCAGATAGATAGATTAAATATTTTTGCAGATGACCATGTTCTCCTTATCCTCACAGTCATTGGTAGAGTTTGGCCCTAAGAGGCCTGATAGTTGTCATCAGTGATATCTCATCATTGTCCTTGGCTTGCAGAGTCTCTGCTGAAGGTGGACCTGAGTAGTCGTGGTGTCCAGGTGACAGAGGGGGGTGAGGTGGAGCTGGTGTGTCGGGTTCGAGGGCCCTCCCTCCCGGTTACTGTAACGTGGAGCCTGCAGCGTGAGGGGCCATCTGCCCCGGACAACATCCTGACCCTGTCGTACACTGGTGACATCACGTGGCGTGGCGACCAGAGTAACTACCAGTTGAGGGCGACCACCGGGAAGAGGGATGTTCGTTACTACCTCCGTATCATCAAAGCGAGCCACAGGGAGGCGGGGCGCTACCAGTGTGTGATCTCAGCGTTTCTGCAAGGGAGACACAGGAAGCTGCGGAACTCCAACCCGCTGGGTGTGCTGGTCCAGACTCCAGGTAGGTCAGGTCAAAGGCTACAGGTCAACCTGGGGTTAGAGTTTGGGTCTCAGCCTCCATCACATTTTCTTTATTTCTCTGTCTTTCTCTCTCTCCCTCTCCCAGAGAGTGTACTCACCTTGTCCTCTAGCTCCTCCCGTCTGGATCAGAGTGTCAACACAGACATACAGATGGAATGCTCCGTTGCCAAAGCAACCTCTAACTCATCCCGCTTCGCTGTCAGCTGGTTGGCCCAGAAGAACGGGGAGGGGAATAAGACAGTCCTCAGCTCAGACCGTGATGCTGTGATAACGCTAGGGGTGGGATTAGACACACAACAGCGAATCAGCATGAGAAGACGTGAGGGGCGAAGCTTCGAGCTGACCATTCGACAGGCCCGTAGCTGGGACAATGGGACGTACTACTGCGTGGTGGAGGAGTGGCTACAGGATCCTCACGGCCAATGGTACAAGCTCCCGCCCTCTTCTGCAGCCATGGAACTCCGCCTACAAGAGACAGGTGAGTTACTCAGATTACTGCAAGTTAAGATATGGACCTGAACTGTATTGATTTGTACAGTTTGCTGAATTGGGCTGTTTGTCAGAACTTTTTTACTGAATGATTGTTTACTCGCCCTTTCCCTGCTTTCTCTCTCCTTCTCCCTTTCTTTCTCTCTCTCCCTCTCCTTCTCCCTTTCTTTCTTTCTCTCCCTCTCCTTCTCCCTTTCTTTCTTTCTCTCCCTCTCCTTCTCCCTTTCTTTCTCTCTCTCCCTCTCCTTCTCCCTTTCTTTCTCTCTCTCCCTCTCCTTCTCCCTTTCTTTCTCTCTCTCCCTCTCCTTCTCCCTTTCTTTCTCTCTCTCCCTTTCCTTCTCCCTGCTTTCTCTTTCTCTCTCTCCTTCTCCCTTTCTTTATCTCTCTCCCTCTCCTTCTCCATTTATTTCTCTCTCTCCCTCTCCTTCTCCCTGCTTTCTCTCTCCTTCCTTCCCTTTCTTTCTCTCTCTCCCTCTCCTCCCTTTCTTTCTCTCTCTCCCTCTCCTCCCTTTCTTTCTCTCTCTCCCTCTCCTTCTCCCTGCTTTCTCTCTCCTCCTCCATTTCTTTCTCCCCCCGCCCCCCCCTTATCTCTCTCTCCTCTCTCTCTCTCTCTCTCTCTCTCTCTCTCTCTCTCTCTCTCCTCTCCTCTCTCTCTCTCTCAGTGAGTGACCTCAGTGTTAACAAAACAGATCTGGAGATGGAGGTCAGACAGGGGGCGGGGGTGGAGCTGACTTGCACTTTGACCTCTGGTGCTTCTGACCCCGCCTCTCTCTACGCCCTCACCTGGTTCTACATGAGGCGTGGCTCTTCCTCCTCTCCCAGGGTTCCCCTGGTGATTCTGGGCCGTGATGGTGTCCTGATGTACCCTGAGAACCAGGACAACCAGGGGCTACAGGACCAGAAGGGGAGGCTGATATTCTCCAGACCCACTCATGGTACCTTTCTGCTGGGTCTGCAGAGAGCTCTTCAGGGTGACAGTGGAGTCTACCAGTGCCAAGTGGACCAGTACAAGCTCAGTCATGACGGCAACTGGGAACAGACCGCTTCAGACCAATCAGGCACAGCTGACCTCACTGTAAAACCAATAGGTAAGTATGATGATTATGGTCGATGGTACAAGCTCCCGCCCTCTTCTGCAGCCATGGAACTCCGCCTACTAGAGACAGGTGAGTTATTCGGTCATGGGCAGAAGGATTACAGCTTTTGTCAAATTGACATCAAACTAGATTTTCTTTTACATTCTAGCTAACCCTAACCCTTTTCCTAACCCTAACCCAGTTCTCCTAATCTGCTACGTTAATTCTCCTAACCTGCTGTGTATGTTCTCCTAACCTGCTACAAAAAGTCAAATCTGACAAAAGCTTTTTCCCATCTAGTCAACACCGAGTTATCCTGATAACAAGGCAAGGCAACGCTGCATCGGCAGAAGGACATGAATCTGCAATGTATATCACATCTATAGAGTATCTTGTTGTGCTGATTTGCAGTTTCTCTGACTTGAGTTGCTCTCTCTCTCTCTCTCTCTCATCCTCCTCTTCTCCTCTCTCTCCTCTCTCTCTCCTCTCTCTCTCTCACCTCTCTCTCTCCTCTCTCCTCTCCTCTCATCTCTCTCTCTCTCTCTCCCTCTCTCCTCTCCTCTCTCTCTCTCTCTCTCCTCTCTCTCTCTCTCCTCTCTCTCTCTCCTCTCTCTCTCTCAGTGAGTGACCTCAGTGTTACACAAGACAGATCTGGAGATGGAGGTCAGACAAGGGGAGGGGTGGAGCTTGACTTGCACTTTGACCTCTGGTGCTTCTGACCCCGTCTCTCTCTACGCCCTCACCTGGTTTCTACATGAGGCGTGGCTCTTCCTCCTCTCCCAGGGTTCCCCTGGTGATTCTGGGCCGTTGATGGTGTCCTGATGTACCCTGAGAACCAGGACAACCAGGGGCTACAGGACCAGAAGGGGAGGCTGATATTCTCCAGACCCACTCATGGTACCTTTCTGCTGGGTCTGCAGAGAGCTCTTCAGGGTGACAGTGGAGTCTACCAGTGCCAAGTGGACCAGTACAAGCTCAATCATGACGGCAACTGGGAACAGACCGCTTCAGACCAATCAGGCACAGCTGACCTCACTGTAAAACCAATAGGTAAGTATGATGATTATGGTCGATGGTACAAGCTCCCGCCCTCTTCTGCAGACATGGAACTCCGCCACTAGCGACAGGTGAGGTTATTGCGGTCATGGGCAGAAGGATTACAGCTTTTTGTCAAATTGACATCAAATAGATTTTCTTTTACATTCTAGCTAACCCTAACCCTTGTCCTAACCCTAACCCAGTTTCCCTAACCTGCTACGGTAATTCTCCTAACCTGCTGTGTATGTTCTCCTAACCTGCTACAAAAGTCAAATCTGACAAAAGCTTTTTCCCATCTAGTCAAACCGAGTTTATCCTGATAACAAGGCAAGGCAACGCTGCATCGGCCAGAAGGAACCATGAATCTGCAAATGTATATCAACCTCTATAGAGTAGTATATTGTTGGTGCCTGATGTTGCAGTGTTATCTGACTCGAGCTTGAGATATCTCTCATACCTCATCCTCGTATATCTCCTCTCTCGCTTCTATCTATGGATGTGTGTCTGTATGTCGTCTGTCTGTCTGTCTGTCCTGTCTGTCTGTCTGTCTGTCTGTCTGTCTGTTGTCTGTCCTGTCTGTCTGTCTGTCTGTCTGTCTGTCTGTCTGTCTGTCTGTCCTGTCTGTCTGTCTGTCTGTCTGTCTGTCGTCTGTCCTGTCTGTCTGTCTGTCTGTCTGTCTGTCTGTCTGTCCTGTTCTGTCTGTCTGTTCCGTCCGTCCGTCCGTCCCTCTTCTCTCCGTCTCTCCTCTCTCTCCTCTCTCCTCTCTCTCTCTCTCTCTCTCTCTCTCTCTCTCTCTCTCTCTCTCTCTCTCTCCTCTCTCCTCTCCTCCTCTCTCTCTCTCCCTCTCTCTCTCTCTCTCTCTCTCTCTCTCTCTCCTCTCCTCTCTCTCTCTCCTCTCATCTCTCTCTCCTCTCGTTTGGAGTTGCAGCTGGGAGTGAGTCGTGAAGCAGGAGTGAGTGTGAGAGCGACTGGAATTTTTTTCATTCTATTGGGTTTTTGGTGTGTATATATTTATATTGATTAGTTTAGTTGGTTTAAGGTTATCTTGTCTAACTATCACTAAGCACGTATAGGGGTGGTGGGATTGTTGAGGTTGTTTTTCGCGAGGGCACAACCAGCGGGTGAGGCTGGTTGCAATGGCCACTCGCGGAAGTTTGGAGTTTGAAAAACTTAGTCGGCGACATGGAGTTAAGATTCCTGCTGCGGCCGGGTGTTCAGTGGAAGAATGTAGCTTGGCAGTGGGTGCTATTATTGGGTATGATAGCATCAAATCAGCCTCAAGGATGAATAGCGCTGTAGTGATATTTTTAGATTCCATTGAAAAGGTGAATAAGATACTTGAGAGTGGTGTTGTGTTGCGGGAGACGCAGACGCCGGTATTTCCGCTTATGAATCCGGCGAAGAAAGTTATACTTTCTAACGTACCACCATTTGTTAGAGATGAAGTGTTGGAGCGAGAGTTATCTCGTCATGGTCAAATTGTATCAACAATAAAGAAGGTTCTTTTTGGATGCAAATCTCCGTTGCTGAAACATGTCGTGTCTCATAGGAGACAAGTGCATATGATTTTAAACAAGGACATTGATGAACTGAATTTAGCATTCAGTTTTAAGATTGATGGATTTGATTATGTTTTCTACGCTTCTACTGAATCAATGAAATGCTTTGGCTGTGGAAGAGAGGGGCATTTGGCGCGTAATTGTCCCGAGAATGAGCGCGCAGATTCTGGTAGCAGCTCTAGTGCTGGTGCACCTAATGCACCACCGCGAAGGGATGAACATGCTAAGGGTGCGGGTGCTGGGGATGGGAGGAGGTGGGCAGATGTGGTAGGAAAAGTAGGAGAGGAAGGCAGTGTGGATACGGGGGCAATGGTGGTAGATCAGAACAAAGAAGGAGGGGAAAAAGTCGGTGAGATTGAGACTGCCGTTGCTGAGGTGGTGCTGGAAAATGAAATTGGAGGTCAGGAGGAGATTTAAATAATGGAAAAGGAAGCCGCTGTTTTCAAAGTACCGAGGAGTAAGAGGAAGAATGTAAGGGGTGGTGAAGGGTCTAATTCCAAGAGGAAGGTAGAGATTGATAAATCAGTTGAAGATAAACCGGTTGTAGAGATGGTGGAGTTTTCTTCTGGGGAGGATAGCGAGAGTGAGTCATCTGATGCGTCACAACAAAATAGTGAGATAAATGGGGTGGAAGGGAGGTATGGGATTGAGAAAGTACGTCAATTTCTGAAGTTGACAAAAGGGAAGAAATATATGCAGGATTATAATGTAACAGATTTTTTCCTGAAAGTGAATTGTTTATTGAATCAGCAAAGTTTCTGATGTCAAAAATAACAGGGGGAGGTTTGACAAGCCCTGAAATTGCTAGACTCAAGAAAGTGGTCACGAGAGTGATAAGTGATGCAAATTCTAAAGAAAATGAAAGAGTTCAGTCGCAGCCTTAACTCTGTAAAGAGATGTGGTTTCTGTGTCTTCCTCTGTATTTTTTTTTCATCCATGAGCAGTTTTAAGATTTCTTCTTTAAACGTAAATGGGGCAAGAGACGTTAAAAAAAGAGCCGTAGTGTATGAATTAATTAGGGGAAAGGGAAGTGACATAAATTTTCTACAAGAAACGCATAGTAATTTGGAAAATGAAGTTATGTGGCAACAGGAGTGGGGGGGGGACAGTGGTGTGTAGTCATAAAGACTCAAAAAGTGGGGGTGTGGCCATCTTGTTCTCAAAAGGGTTTTTGCCTTTGTCATATGAGGTTGAAGAGGTAGTTGAGGGGAGGTTATTAAAAGTTAGAGCAAGGTATGAAAACATCACTATGTGTCTGATAAATGTATATGCCCCAGTGGTGGCAGTTGAGAGGGTATGTTTTTTAGAGACATTATCAAATACCATTGGGAAATGTAATAATGAAGATTATTTATTTATTGCTGGGGATTTTAACTGTACAGTCAGTGATTTAGATAGAAATCACAAAGAACCTCATATAGCCTCAAGGACTTTTTTAAAACGCCTCATTGTAACACATGAACTGTGTGATATTTGGCGGAGTCAACATGGAGGCACGAGACAGTACACCTGGGCGCATGTGAGAGAGAACACCATCTCTATGGCCAGGTTAGATAGGTTTTATTGTTTTGAGCATCAATCTCAGGTCTGTAAATCAAGTGTGATAACCCCAGTGGGATTTTCTGATCATTGTTTAATAACAGAGGTGGTGTTCATTAACGATGTAAAACCCAAAAGCGCATATTGGCATTTTAATATAACTTTATTGAGTGATGCTCACTTCAGGAAATGTTTTTTTTTTTTTTGGGAGAGGTGGAGGTCTCAAAAGGCCAGTTTTGTATCCCTTCAACAGTGGTGGGATATAGGGAAAATCCAGATTCAACAATTATGTAATCAATACACAAGGAATGTCACCAGGGATATCACCAAATCAATGAAAGCCCTAGAGACTGAAATAGTGGAACTCATGACGTTGGTTGAGACCACAGGAGATCGAGGCCATACTCAGGCCCTCAAGAGGAAAAAAGCTACATTGGCAGACCTGCTGGGTATCAGAGCACAGGGGGCATTGGTGAGAAGTAAGTTTCAGGGAATCTCTGAAATGGATGCCTCATCCAAGTTTTTCTTTGGTTTAGAGAAAAAGAATGGACAAAGAAAAATTATTCATTGTCTCAAATCAGCTGTTGGACAGGAGCTCACTAGCCCTAGTGAAATTAGAAAGAGGGCAGTAGAGTTCTATGCTGAGCTCTACAAGTGTGAGTACAAAGAGGATAAAACAGTGACACAGCAGTTCCTTGATGGGCTCCCACAGGTGGCTGCAGAAGCTCAGGTTGAGCTAGAGCAACCATTGTCTTTGCAGGAGCTATACACTGCATTAAAAGGCATGGAAAATGGAAGGGCACCAGGCATTGATGGGCTTCCCGTTGACTTTTTTAAGTCTTTTTGGGCTATGTTGGGAGAGGATTGGCTAGCAGTAGTTAATGATAGTTTAACCGGAGGGTTACTACCAATAAGCTGCAGAAGGGCTGTCCTCACCCTACTGCCCAAAAAGGGTGACCCTAGGGAGGTGAAGAACTGGAGGCCGGTGGCTCTATTGTGCACTGATTATAAGATCCTGTCAAAGGCTTTGTCCAACAGGCTGAGGGAGGTGATGGGGCAAATCATACATACGGACCAGTCCTACTGTGTTCCTGGCAGGCAGATAGGGGATAACATTTCTCTGATTCGTGATTTTTTGGACGTCTCTAGGGCTATTGGGTTGGATGCTGGTCTAATTTCAATTGATCAGGAAAAGGCATTTGACCGAGTTGAACATCAATACTTATGGCACACTTTTGAGGCATTTGGGTTCAGCTCTGGTTTTATTGCCATGATAAAGGTGATATATGGTGACATTGAAAGTGTATTGAAAGTTAACGGTGGTTTGAGTGCTCCTTTTGAAGTGTGTAGAGGTATTAGGCAGGGATGCTCTTTGTCGGGAATGTTATATGCCATTGCTATAGAGCCACTACTAAATAGCATTAGAAGTCACATTGAAGGGGTGTACCTTTCAGAGGATATTCCTCCTATTCGTCTCTCAGCCTATGCTGATGATGTAGTTGTTTTAGTGAAAAATCAAGCGGAGGTGGATAGTTTGAGTCTAATGGTTGACCGTTTTAGGGGAATATCCTCTGCAAAGGTAAATTGGGAAAAAAGTTGTGCTTTACAGATTGGAGAATGGTCTGGAGGGATCATGGCTTTGCCAGGGGGGCTGGAATGGTGTAAGGGAGGTTTTAAGTACCTTGGAGTGTACCTAGGAGATGAGGGGACAATGGAAAAAAATTGGATTGGGGTGGTTGAAATGGTGGAAGGGAGGATGAGGAGATGGCGTTGGTTGTTATCGCGTATGTCATATAGGGGGCGCACTATTATAGTTAACAATGTGATTGCCTCTGCACTGTGGCATCGGTTGTCAGTTTTAGAGCCACCATCTGGCCTTCTGGCTAAGATACAGGCAATGATTGTGGATTTTTTTTGGGATAAATATCACTGGGTTCCACAAAGTGTTTTGTATTTGTCAAAAGAGGAGGGGGGACAAGGTCTTGTACATCTTGCTAGTAGGGCTGCTGCTTTCCGGTTTCAGTTTATTCAAAGGTTGCTTTATGGACTGGAAAATGTGGTTTGGAGAGGGGTGGCAGGTCTTGTATTACAGCAGGTTGGGGGATTAGGTTTAAAGAAAGCTTTATTTTTGGTTGATAGTAGCCAGATTTCTAGGGAGGGAGTACCTCCGTTTTACAGAGGCCTTCTTAGGGTGTGGAGCATTATGAAGGTGTCCAGACGAACGTCAGCGGAGTCAGTGCATTGGCTGTTGGAGGAACCTCTGGTGTACGGGGCAAGACTGGATTGTACAACTGCAGCTGTTCCATATTTCTCCAAGATTCTGGTGAAGGGCAAAATCATCACCTTAAAACAGTTAATGGCCATGGCTGGGACCGCCTTAATGGATGGAAGAAGGGTGGCTGAACATTTGGGGGTGAGGTCGGAAAGGATTGTCGGACAACTGCTGGGAAGCTGCAGGAAGGCTCTGTCAGCAGAAGAGTGGGGTATGCTTAATAGTCACAAGAAGAATGTACAAGATGAAAACGTCTCATTTCCAAGACTAGGGATTACACCCAATATCCCAGAGTCGGAAAGAAAGGCGCTATTAATGGATTTGAGAGGGTTGGAAGAGGTGGGTTTGGATGAGGTGAATGGGAAAGACTTATACAGGGGGTGTGTCAAGGTTTTGAATAAAGATAAATTGAAAAATAGAAAAGACACTCCATGGAGGGTAAAATTGGGCATTGATGACAAGGTAAAGCCAGCATGGAGAGCACTGTACAAGCCACCGTTACAAAAGGGTACTGGGGATATGCAATGGAGAGTTTTGCATGGCATCATTGCAGTTAATGCTTTTGTATCTGTTATTAACTCAGATGTTGGAGATGGATGCCCTTTTTGTAATATAAGAGAAACAATTTTTCATTGTTTTATGGAGTGTGAGAGGATAAAACCTCTCTTGGAAATGCTGGAGTCTTTGTTTAAAGCTGTAGGGGAGATTTTCAATAACACTGTTTTTATTTTGGGGTTTCAATATAGTAACCATCAGAAAAGAAAATGTCAACTGTTAAATTTTATTTTGGGACAAGCTAAGATGTCCATTTTTCTGAGTAGGAAACATAAGATAGAAACGGGATATGGGCAGGATGTAAGATGTGTTTTTAAAGGATTAGTGAAAGCAAGAATAAAAGTGGATTTTGAGTTCTTCTCAGCTGTAAAAGATCTCCCATTGTTTGAGGAGAAGTGGGCTTACGAAAGAGCGGTTTGTTTTGTGGAGGAGGGGAAACTATTTTTTGTTGATGAAATGAGTTGAATGTATATGTTCTTTTGTATTTTTATTTTATTTTATTTAGGAATTACATTTTTTTTTCATTTTTGAAAAGGCAGTGTGCCATTATTTATGTTAACAATTGAGTATAAAATAAAGGTTTTATAAAAACTCAAACTCTCTCTCTCTCTCTCTCTCTCTCTCTCTCTCTCTCTCTCTCTCAGTGAGTGACCTCAGTGTTAACAAGACAGATCTGGAGATGGAGGTCAGACAAGGGGAGGGGGTGGAGCTGACTTGCACTTTGACCTCTGGTGCTTCTGACCCCGTCTCTCTCTACGCCCTCACCTGGTTCTACATGAGGCGTGGCTCTTTCTCCTCTCCCAGGGTTCCCCTGGTGATTCTGGGCCGTGATGGTGTCCTGATGTACCCTGAGAACCAGGACAACCAGGGGCTACAGGACCAGAAGGGGAGGCTGATATTCTCCAGACCCACTCATGGTACCTTTCTGCTGGGTCTGCAGAGAGCTCTTCAGGGTGACAGTGGAGTCTACCAGTGCCAAGTGGACCAGTACAAGCTCAATCATGACGGCAACTGGGAATTTAGTGCCACCGAGCAATCAGGAACAACCAACCTCACTGTACGACTACCAATAGGTATGATGTCATCATTTATGAGTCCATGATGTCAGACTGTACAAATACAACTGAATCAAAACGTGTTCTATTTCACCTTCTTCTGTTCTCTCCTTCCCCAGAAGATGAGTCTGAGTTGCTGTCTGATCTAGGATGCGCCCCTGGATCAGTTCTAGGCATCTTCCTCCCTCTTGTCTGTATCCTGGCGATTCTCGTCATGGTGCTGTCAATCAAGCTGATGCGGCGGGGCTTAGCGGGAAACAAGAAACAGGCAGACTCTCTGTGGGCGGAGGAACACCCACTGAAGCCACGCCCAGAAGACTGAGCACAGAGGAGAGGAGAGAAGGGAAACAGAGAGAGGATGAGTAGATAGGAGGAAGAGTACATAAGTGAGGAGAAGACATGAAGGGAGAAAAGGAGAGGATGTGGGATGGAGAGGGATGATAAGAGTGGGAAGGGGGGATAAGTGAGAGAACAGGAAAGGAGATAGAGGGAGAGGGCAGAATGAGCGCTTTTTAAAATGTTAATGTGATTGATTTTTGGTTCCAAGCATGCTTTTTACTTGTTTAAACAATAATACATTGTAGAATAATAGTGAAGACATCAAAACTATGAAATAACACACATGGAATCATGTAGTAACCAAAAAAGTGTTAAACAAATTTATATTTGAGATTCTTTAAATAGCCACCCTTTGCTTTGATGACAGCTTTGCACTGTCATGGCATTCTCTCAACCAGCTTCATGAGGTAGTCATGGGGAATGCATTTCAATTAACAGGTGTGCCTTCTTAAAAGTTAATTTGTGGAATTTCTTTCCTTAATGCGTTTGAGCCAATCAGTTGTGTTGTGACAAGGTAGGGGGGAGGTATACAGAAGATAGCCCTATTTGGTAAAAGATCAAGTCCATATTATGGAAAGAACAGCTCAAATAAGCAAAGAGAAACGACAGTCCATCATTACTTTAAGACATGAAGGTCAGTCAATACGGAACATTTCAAGAACTTTGAAAGTTTCTTTACGTACAGTCGCAAAAACCATCAAGCGCTATGATGAAACTAGCTCTCATGAGAACCGCCACAGGAATGGAAGACCCAGAGTTACCTCTGCTGCAGAGGATAAGTTCATTATAGAGTTACCAGTCTCAGAAATTGCAGCCCAAATAAATGCTTCACAGAGTTCAAGTAACAGACACATCTCAACATCAACTGTTCAGAGGAGACTGTGTGAATCAGGCCTTCATGGTCGAATTGCTGCAAAGAAACCACTACTAAAGGACACTAATAAGAAGAAGAGACTTGCTTGGGCCAAGAAACACGAGTAATGGACATTAGACCGGTGGAAATTTGTCCAAATTTGAGATTTTTGGTTCCAACCGCTGTGTCTTTGTGAGACGCGGTGTGGGTGAACAGATGATCTCTGCATGTGTATTTTGCACCGTAAAACATGGAGGAGGAGGTGTTATGGTGTGGGGGTGCTTTGTTGGTGACACTCTCTGTGATTTACCAGTAGGGCTACCACAGCATTCTGCAGCGATACGCCATCCCATCTGGTTTGGGCTCAGTGGGACTATCATTTGTTTTTCAACAGGACAATGACCCCACACACCTTCAGGCTGTGTAAGGGCTATTTTACCAAGAAGGAGAGTGATGGAGTGCTGCATCAGATGACCTGGCCTCCACAATCACCCGACCTCAACCAAATTGAGATGGTTTGGGATGAGTCGGACGGCAGAGTGAAGGAAAAGCAGCCAACAAGTGCTCAACATATGTGGGAACTCCTTCAGGACTGTTGGTAAAGTATTCCAGGTGAAGCTGGTTGAGAGAATGCCAAGAGTGTGCAAAGCTGTCATCAAGGCAAAGGGTGGCTATTTGAAGAATCTCAAATATAAAATATATTTTGATTTGTTTAACACTTTTTTGGTTACTACATGATTCCATATGTGTTATTTCATAGTTTTGATGTCTTCACTATTTTTCTACAATGTAGAAAATAGTAAAAAATTAAGAAAAACCCTTGAATGAGTAGGTGTTCTAAAACTTTTGACCGGTAGTGTACATCAGCACTGCTTTAACTTTGAGACTTTTTTTTATGTCGTTTTACGTTAGTTTTCTCTGATGACTCAAAGCTCTAGACTCACTGACTAGCAGATGCGCTGAAACCTTGATTCATGTCTGATCATCGTTTGTATGAATGAGTTTTTCACAAATATTATATTTATGAATTGTTGAAAGATATTATGCCATGTTCTGTACTCATTTGCAACATTTTGCCTCAAGAATGAATCAGTTTTATTTCTTAACTTGTTTGAAGCACTTCTGAAAGAACTCTGAGAAAGACTTCATGATATCACAAACATTTTATCTGGACAGATTAGGTCCAGAAGACTAAGATGTATTAATAGAATATTGTTCTCAGACATGTTTCATTTGTAAAGTTGCTGGTGCATTATCTGGTTTGTAATAAATATACAGTAGTTTGAAGAAAGCATTGTGACATGATTGACCTTCTCGGTTTTCTAACTCTGTCAGTGTGGGGCTCTCCGTCTCTCGCTCAGCTTCTGTCTCTCATTACTTTTTCTCCATCCCCCTGTCTCGTGTGGTGGGTTATAACACCTCTCTCCTTGTCATGAAGTAAGTACGTCTCTACCCTGTAAAGAGGAAGTATCTGTGTTCCTGCTGAGTTCTGCTGAGCTCTGAAATGCCTAGTCATCTCTGGTCCTGCAGTCTGACTGTCATCTATGTAGGTCACAGCAGTCACACTATGAAGAGAACGGAAACATTCACACACGCACACGGTAGTTTATTACCAAATATACGTTATTGCAAGCTTTTCATCAGTGAATGTTCCATCTCTCTCACCATTGGGAAGTGGGCTGTGCATGTATGTGAGGCATGACAAAAGTTGTGGTTATGGCTGGCTGGTTATGTATACACTGGATCTCATTATAGAGTTACCAGCCTCAGAAATTGCAGCCCAAATAAATGCTTCACAGAGTTCAAGTAACAGACACATCTCAACATCAACTGTTCAGAGGAGACTGTGTGAATCAGGCCTTCATGGTCGAATTGCTGCAAAGAAACCACTACTAAAGGACACTAATAAGAAGAAGAGACTTGCTTGGGCCAAGAAACACGAGCAATGGACATTAGACAGGTGGAAATTTGTCCAAATTTGAGATTTTTGGTTCCAACCTGATAGATTAATTATTAATGACTAATTATTACACCCTGAAACTGTGTATAATGTGTGAGTGTAGGACCAGTAAAGGCTATGGCATTGAGCCACTATTTAGCAATGTGAGTAAGAGTCAGGCCAGACAACAAAGACAACTGAGAAACTAAGATAAAGAGGCCTCCCAATTTAGGGAGGGGAGAAACTGTTATGAAAACATGGTGCAGAATATTGTGAGAACGGCAATAACTGAGTAAAGCAGGGAGTAGGATATGTGTGTGTGTGTGTGTATGTATGTGTGTATGCATGTGTGTATGTGTGTGAACTGAAGGTCAGTAGAGCAGTTTTAGAGTGGAAAACTACAGCCCGCCTACAGAGGGAAGGGATTTATTTTTGTATGACGTATGAGTATAAAAGATGGACTCTGAAATTGTGATGGCAGAATTCTCAATGAATAAATATCTCTGACCATGCAGACCGGGACTCTGGCCGTTACTTAAATCCCAAAAGACTTACAACCTTTTGGGAGACGCACAGAGACACTAAAATAGTTTGATAAATAATTCACTTAACAGCTTGGTTCTTCTGAGCCGGACTCCAATACCCTGTTTCTGTCATTCCAGGTAACTCTGAAAACCGTCGACGGGCGAATGATACATTCGTAAATAGAAAGTCCTGCCCTTTGACATTAAGGGTTAAAACAGGCCAGAGGACACCTGATTAATGACAGAGACGGTGACGGAATGCAAACCTACATTGAATCTCGGCTGCAAGGATAAGGTCAGTAGTCTTTATTCATTAACTTGGTGAAATTGATTTGAGAACTTGCTAAAATATTGAAAAGTAGCAAATTGATCAATGCGTAGCCATTTTAAGTGAAATGTGGGGTTGACTGTCAGGAATTATCAAGATTACATTGTGAGGATAGACTCCTCCGTAGAGTAGGAGATAATTCTGGGGGACTGGTCAACCTGGTGGTGGGTCCGTAATGATTCACGGTAATAGGCCATTACCAAAAGAAACTACCCGGTGTTGAAATAGAAGGAACTATTAAAAGTACACCTATGGGATGGAACCTGTAAGAGATTATTGAACAGTCAACAAATAATCCGGGTTAAACAAATACAAAAAGTACACCAGAAGGAATTAAAATAGCATGTGTGAGAAATAGAATATTAGTAAAGTCAAAAGTCACAAACAACTGTAGATTTTGCTGTAAACTCTATCCGTTCTGGAGCCTTATAAACTCCATGTTACCGATATAACACCAATAATCATGTAAGGTTGTATACGTGTGAGACCTAATGTTTACTCAGAAGTCACATCTATGAATAATTCCAGGTGGTTGTATAGAGGAGGGAGAACCCATTCCTGTTGTATGAGACTGTCAGGAATTATCAAGATTACATTGTGGGGATCAATCCCTCTGTAAAAGTATGAGATAATTCTGGGGGACTAGTCAAGACTACATATACAGGGAGAGGTGGTTGTATAGAGGAGGGAGAACCCATTCCTGTTGTATGAGACTGTCAGGAATTATCAAGATTACATTGTGGGGATCAATCCCTCTGTAAAAGTATGAGATAATTCTGGGGGACTAGTCAAGATTACATATACAGGAAGGGGTGATTCAAGGTGTTGTTGTGTGAAGCTATTTTGAATTACTTGTTAAATTGACTTGTTATATAGAAGAGGTGGCTAAGGGATTTTTAACAGTACCAACCATGGGGGGGCAAATCCTCACAAGAGGTCCCAGAATTTACTGGGGACGAGAAATACTTGATGTAATTAAAATGGAATCCAGGGATAGAAGAAATCTCCATTATGTAACCAGGTGGAGGGAGAGGTATGGTTTTGAGGGACGTCTAGACGCAGATAAACTCGAATCCATGCTTAAACAGATACATAAGGTGTGTAAAGGAGAAATAAGCAGTGAGAGAGAGAGAGAGAGTAGGAGGGGGCCAGTACCCACTGATAGCCTTACCTAATCTATTGGCGGGGAATGAAAGGGGCCCCAGCAACCTTAGATGTATACAGTAATAATAATAATATGCCATTTAGCAGACAGGCCATGAACACAGAGGACGTGGCCAGAGCGGTAGAAGGAATGACCCACCCCAAAACAGGAATAGTAAGGTTTGGGCTGCCGTTAGAGGGCAGTGGGTTTCAGGGGATGCCCAGAGGACACTTTTGCCATGGGCCGATTACGGAGAGTATGTTGGGAAAATAACTGAATTGTGTAATAGCCTCAGAGAGACATGCAATCCATCATGAGCAGAATAACAGACAGGACAGAGCCAAGAAAGAAGAGGAAGATGCAGAGTAACTAATTGCCACTCTGGGAGAGATGGCGGGTAGAACTAGAAACTTAGGAGAGAGAGGAGATAAGGCAGGAAGAAAAGAGAAGTGAGTGAGAGGGAAAGAGAAGTG